CGACATCCCGTACCATTCATAATGTTACCCGCGCTTAGTAACCTTAAAATCACTTTAATTCAACTGTGACCCGTTTTCAATATTACGTAATTAATATAGATGATTTATTTTTGTTCTCACTTATTGGCTCGTCTAATAATTTAAGTGGTAAATCGCGAAACCCTCTCTTCCTGTCATCGTTATTTTTGCAAATTTCGTATCGGCTTCTTTGATAATGCGTAATGAAACGAATCAATCCAGAACCTGACCGGCGATTCGCTAATTAACCTCATTCATACTCAGGTTGTAATGACACAATGCGAACTATTGATTTTATACTTCATTAGTGGAACAGTGGCATGGCCTTGTAATAACTGTTTGGGGACACTACAGAATATTCATGAGCACTAGTCAGTATATTCGGCTCATGATTTGGTAGTGATTATAAATTTGACAGTAACGCAAACTTCAAAAGGCAAGGTAAAATATATACAAAAAAAACGAGGATTTTTCACATTAATTCCGCGTGTCATACACTCGTTTCCACTACAAGGACTGGGCCATTGACCCGTTGTGGGGGGGGGACAGTTGCTCAAGGCAACTCGTCCTTATTAGTCTTTTAATTGCGACTGTATAATTATACTTTTAGGCTAGTACTACAGTTTCCACGAAACCGTTTCATTTTACACGAACCACAGGGCACAAGGAAGATATTAACACAAGGCATTTACAATGCTACCTTATGTCATAATAAGGTAATAAAATTTTACTTTTACTCATATTTAGTAACAAAATACCTGGCGTTGTGTCGAATGTCTAGCGGTTAGAACGCTGGCCTTGTAATCCTGGGGTCTCGGGTTCGATTCCCGGCGGTGCCAGAATTTATAACTTGTGTTGGGCAAGGCCGTGGTCTAGGCAACACGGCGTTTTCCTCCGGGGGCTTCCCCGGTTTCTCCGTGGCATCCCATTCACACACAGAAGAAGGCAATGGCAAACCACTTCTGGATCATCTGCCAAGAACGTATATGAACAGGTCCCAGTCCGAGAAAAGGATGGAAGGATCCTGTTCATATGGACCTGTCCTCAGACAGAACACTAAATAAATAAAATAGCAGTAAAGTGTGAGATAAATTAACTGCATTCAGACCTGTTAGATGCCGACCCATTTACATTATTTGCTCCAACTGTTTGTTTGTATCAGGGGCAAAGACGCAGGACGCATTGAAAAACAGCGGTCATTGATAAAAATAATACAAAAATTGTTGCGAGTTTACTCCATTCCACCCACCTTTCTCGTCAGACAAACAACACGGCGGGTTGCAAAATCTGAATAATATTTCCTACTAAATAAACCTAACCTAACAGCACATACTTCGTCGAGATCAAAGAATGGTTTTGTACAACTGTGTAAGAAATATTAACGCAATGAAATTGATGTTCACATTTGATAAGTGGATAATGTATTTAAAATATTACAAAGCTGTTAGAACCGTAAAATACATAAATACAGAGCCATTGCTCCCTGAAAATAAGCTGCTTCAATAACATCCGGAAGCCTGCATTGAGAGCATCATGAGAAAATACGGCATTCGACCGTCTCCGAATGAAATCGCAGCGCCAGAGATTCTATGGCAGCCATTTGCGTAAAAATGACGTATCTTTCTGGATATTAAGTATTTAATTAAATTCGCTACCGCAGATAATTAGTTGAGAAAACGAACATTTCTGAATTTCTTAAGGGATAAGAGGAGGCTTCTGCAATTGAGAATTACACGGCCTGCCTGTTACAGTCTGCTGAGAGGTTCTTAGGAAACGCATATCGCCGTGTCTCTTCGGCAACTTCTCCGGCACCCGTGTTGGGCACGTAGTCTAAACAGTGCCACACGGGCGTCAGTTTCTGCGATGATATGCCCCAACGGCGTGGTGCCTTCGTGTTCAAGTATAACGACTTATATATATGGTGTACTTATTTTCAGGAAGTAATTTGAGATTATCTACAGCTGAATGCAATCGGATACTAACTCTTCAAGTGTCATTTGTCAGAATAATAATTTTTATGTGTAAGATTTAAACAAGGATAGTTATTAGAATACTTAAACCTTCTACAAATTTAAACATTTCAGCATGGGATAGAAAGAGTAATTTGTTACAAGCTCGCGGGGAAAAAAACATACTAGCTTGATCCTTAGTTACTGTATTGCCTTTAAATATCGCGGTTTTCCGAAAAATGAATGGCATGAATAAATACATAAATAAGTAATAATGATGTATAAATTATGCATGCACTTAGGTTATATATAAATTGTGATACTCGATACAGCAGAATGGACCCCTTAGAAGTATTTTTAAACCTTGACGTCAACCTGGAAACATGCATATCTGAAGTAATCCATTGGCTTGGTTAATGATTATAAATCCCGGTCGACGCCATAGAACACTTGCTCAGTACAACAACGCGCCTTCAGAACAGCGAGGTTTCACGTGTCTACAGGATCTCTAAGATGCATCAACATGTCATTCGTTAACTGTGTCGCAGGACACCTGAGCATCAACTTCAAAGAACAGTTTCTATTGCGATCTGCGCCGTTGTACGTGTAGTCTACCTGCAGATATCAAAACGCAATGTACGTTGGCATCGGTACAATGAAATCGCGCACTAACCTCTCGCCCACGCTACAACCAGCAAATATCCACGTTTCAAAGATAAATATTACGCCTACAGCCTCGTCAACACGTAGCTCTTCAGCTGGTCTCGATGTAAGACCAGTCCATTATCTGTTTTGTTTCAACCGGTGGGTTCGCGGACATTTTGCTTTTCATTTAAAATAACATTAAACTGGGAACCAGTTGAATGTCTGTAGGTATCTATTTTTGCCCCCCCAAAAAATAATCTTTCACGTATGACGATAATATGCGTCAAGAACTATGCATAATGAATGAAAAAACCTATGTCTGATAAAAAATGAAGAAATTTCAAAGGTGATTATTGTCTCCATCCTCAGGGCAATTGTCATGATGATGAATTCAATAACACCCTCTCAAACTTCGGTTAATTTCTGCCAGACTACGCGGCGCAACATCCCAGAAAACAGACATCTACATACCCGTGACCGTGAGAACCTAAAATATCGCCTCGTAATTATTAGTTTCCCACGCTAATCAACATTTGTGGATAGACGAACGTGTGACAGGGAGCAACATTATTATTATTATTTATTTAGTGTTCTGTCTGAGGACAGATCCATATGAACAGGATCCTTCCATCCTTTTCTCGGACTGGGACCTGTTCATATACGTTCTTGGCAGATGATCCAGAAGTGGTTTGCCATTGCCTGCTTCTGTGTGTGAATAGAGTAATTGTTGGGATGCCACGGAGAAAAACTCCGTGTTGCCTAGACCACCACAAGTTATAAATTCGAACCCGAGACCCCAGGATTACAAGGCCAGCGTTCTAACCGCTAGACCACCGTGGCTACGGAGCAACATTAATGCAATTTAATGTGGGGCTATGAAATAACGAGGTAATAAGTACTCGAAATATGTGCAAATTTTATTAATAATCTGTGCAGTGTAAAGCAATATGGCCGCCGAGAGACCATTTTCTTTTAGGTTCAACGTATGACACCGATACCTAATAGACCACTGGAGCCACAAAAATTTCCGATTCCAGTAGCACTCGACCTAATGACCAACCACGCAATTTCATGAACTAAATAAACTGCATTTCATTGGCAGGTTATAAATGGGCATTGAGACACAAAATGAGTACGGCTGGAAGTCTCTACAGCAGCAAAGTACCAACCCCTTGCCTTCACTGTCCATCAGCGGCGAAGTGCTGACAGAAACGTCTGTCAACTCGGAACGACGTAGTTGGCGTGAATGTAAAATGACTTTTTCTTTTTATTTATACCAAAGTTTTTCACAGCATCGCCTTCATATGGAAGGAATCGGCCAGTTGAAAGATTCCTGTCGTTTAAAGCCCTTATTACTGTAGGAAAATTCCACACAGCATCGTGAGCATTACGTGGGTGGGCTGAATGAGACTTCTTCATTCTGGGGGCTTCGTTTACGTAAACACAACGTGCAGAGGTGATTATATAATAATATTCTTAAGGAAGTCTTTTCACATATTATTTCTGCATTATCCTCCGCATATAGAACCAGTGTAACAATATGCTAATGATGTACGAGTCCACTATCGTCATGGTAACCGATCTGATGAGAATTCAGCAAATGGCAGTGGCGCTGTTTACGGGTTGTCGCCATGGTAACCAAGGCCACGCATTCAATTTCATTTTAATCGCATGATGACAGACCACAATGTCCTGCCGCTGGAACGGTGAAATTACGACAATAAAGTCCACAGTTGTCAGCAGATTAGGCGACGCTGGGTAAGTGCTCTACACGTTAAGAAAATCAGTCTTCTGGTTCGGTTAGGTCGCTGTACGAAGCAGTGGTTTCGGCTCTGCAAGAGTGTGTTGATAAATTCGGGGGAATATTTGCAGTCGTGCAGTTCCAAATACCTTATCCTCCCGCCTGCTATCTAGAACCAAAAATTAATGATTTTACACAGTCGAGACCTGGTCTCTCAAGTTCAGGGCGTTTAAGAACAGAGACGAGAATATCTGGACAAGGTGACAGAAAAACACTACGCAATGAAATGAGTTGCACTCTTCGCCAAATATTAAAAGTTCGATCAAATCAGGAAACATGAGGTGGGCGGGACACGTTCAAATGGTGGACAACCCAGACGAACATCCCGATAATCTCTTCCGCCATGATCCATTTTAAGGTTACGGTCACATCTTCGCCTAGGTCTCCAAAGCGACCTTCGGGTTTACCAACTATTCATACCACATTTAATGATATGAAGTATTTTTTTTTTAGAAACATGTTAAGAGAGAACACAGGGATGCTCTCTCAGGGCTGCTGTGTTCGTACAGTTGGCACGAAATAATTGTCTAGCCAGAGTCTGCGATCCCTGAATGCAGCTCCACTGAAGCAACACGTTGTCTGCCTAGGTTCCTGCAGTGCATGATGCCCGAGGAACACGACCTCACATTCTCGTGGCTCAACACTAACGTCATCCAGGGAGGAGTCATGTTCCTGCTCATTACAGACGCCACGGGACCTGTCTACGGGTGGGCCCAGTACACCTTCTCCTCAGGTGAGTGCCGATAAACAGCAATTCTGCTAAATGTGTTGCATCGCGTGTGGATCCTGTTCTGTGGGCGTTCAACCTTTTTGCTGAACCACCCGTCATAAAAGAACTCGAAAATATTACGAAGGGTGAACAATTTCTTACTCGATACGCTGTCTTACTAAGACTAGTCCATGACAAAATAATAAATCGATCAGCTAATGAAGAAATTTCCTAACATTTATACAACCCGGAGTTCCATTAACCCATAAGACCGAGAACATGTGTGACATTTCGTCACATGCAAACACCAATCGGACACCTTGTAAGCTGTCCTCAGCTATTTATTCCATATCTTAACAGATGACAGAGGCATTATGTTCCTCAGAATGCTTGGTATCAACTAATAACTCTACACGGCGTTACATCAATAATATAACAGTAAAACATACATCTACATTACTCTTAATGTACATAGTTTTAAGTTCAATAAAACCCACTAAGTGTGGACGAAATATTGAGACGAAGTCGAAGTCTGCCAAAGAAAGATATTAGGAATTGGGAGGAAACGCTGTCATCGCCCAATTCGGAAGGCTTCTCGCTCTGCACAACACGGAAACAACTTCTGTAAAATAAAATTTAATTATCCTTTATCACGTAAAATTGTGTACCGAGACTACGCAAGCTTTTTGTTTCAGGCCTCCTGCTTTTATAACAGCATCCGCCCGATATCGGCAAATACATTAAAAAAAAAAGCTCCAAACCTGTTCGTTCTTTCCGCGCTCTTCCATTCCGAGAAACGCGAATCTTTATTGGCTTTGCGCCGTTCTACGAAGTTCACGTCGCGCCGTAATAACTGAATCGGAATGAGTGAGTAAGCCTCGTATCACCTTGTAGCACTCAGTTTTGCAAATAACAAACTTAGAAATATGGGACGATAAATCCGTTAAGATGGTAAACAGAGAAGCCTGCCTTTTACTTCGTTCAAATAATAAAATAAGATACGTATTTTATCTTAACCATATGAAGCCGAAGCTCGAATAAAATTTAAACACCGAGTTCCGACCTCAAAGAAAACACAACATTCTCCATTACACAGATCGATCTGTTAATGTTGTTTAAGGAAAGAATCAGTGTTTACCACGTGAAACTAATAAAGACACCTACACTGTGTGCAAAAAGCAGAGTTCGTTTTAGTTAAAGGACTTATAATTATTGCTGAATTTTAAAGACTTAAGAATTCGCCTGCATCCAAGAACCGGGGATTATAAAATTCCGGCCAGAATTTTATTTAAGAATCCGCCTGTTATTACTGCATCCAAAAACTGGGGATTATAAAATTCCGGCCAGAATTTTAATAAAGCAGAAAACTGATCGGCGCAACAAATAAGAATCTTCAGCATTCATCCAGTTTAATCTGATCTTGACGTCTTCCTGATTCCACTCTAACAGGTTAGGTTATGAAACTTCCGAAGCACCGTCTTCAGGCCGTGCTGACAGTTGACAGAACAAAACATATTAAAGGCTACGTGAGCAACATCGCTGGCATTTTAATATGAAGGACTACACACGGAAATGTCAACATTGTGATATATTCAGAATGACTCAGACTGTCCACAAGTCTACGTCTCGTACCTAAGATTAGAAGCACATCTTCATGAAAGTTTATTTTGCGGTATTAAGCCTTGACAATTTTCCTTTTCTGTGAATGAAGATGTATCGCACACAGAATTTTGTAGAATTTTCTTTTCTGATGGCGACACCTCGCGATTACATCGAGGCAATGACGTCATGATGACAGTCATACTTCCTGATCAACTTCTCTTCTCCTGAATATCATCGAACATCCGCCCCAATACCAGTGGAATACTGTTCCAAGGAAAAGCACGGTGGCGAGGGCCCCTCGTTTGCCCTTCATGTCGTCGTCATCACGTTTGAAGCCTATTTTATATGGAAATATTCACAAAAATCTAAGTGGAGATTTCAGACGACATCGACTATCTTTATAGCACACAGCTTGCCTCCATCCATGTCCGGTCTTCCTTCGAATAGATTAAAAGCTCTTCAAAATGCTTTCATATACTGAGCAAGCGTATTATAGGACATGAATGCTTCAATATTACACAATCTTTCGTTCGCTTTCGGACGCAACCTTTAGCGAGTATCTCCTTCTGCTCCTGATCTGACAGCTTGCCTCGCCGATACTTCAGGAAGTCGGCAGAGCATGTGCGCCCCAGAGGCAACCAACTAACTCTTGATGTATTCTTTTTGAAGTTTTACTCTAATCCACAGGCAAACTGCTATGCAACGCCCCGAAACACATCGCACGTTTCCTTCCTCGTGTTTTGTTTCTTTATTTTTTATTACTGCGTCGGTCTTGAACTTTATGGTACGTAACATCTCGGACATTCTCGGCTGCGCGTGCATTATAGCATCGCCCTAAAACGGAACAGTTGACACGCGCGTCATAATTTGCGGTGATCAAAAGCTCACACGACCCCGCACGAACTCAAGGGGAGGAGGGGGGGAAATTGTCTTTGGGATTTTCATCCCTTACTCTGTTTCCCATTCCTGTTATTTAAAAGTTTCCGTTCCTCATAAAATAAGTGCTTTTAAAAGTTTCCTAATGATAGCGGAAATTGTAGAATAGAACTTTTGGAAGATTTTGGAGGAAAGAGGCTACCCTACACATTTAATAAACGTTATCGAAAACAATATTTGGACTTAATTAAAAATAGAATTAGGATAAGGTTGACTTTTATAATAAATCGTTATTAATCAACGGGTGAGAGGTTGTTGGAGCCCGAGCCCAATGCTACTTAACATTCATGTCCATGGACGATACTTTGAGAGAACTAAAAATAAATTAATTTCACGTATTAAATTAACACATAATTCTGCAGTTAATATGCAAATATTTGCTGATGGTATTGTGACACCCAAATAAAACAAAGATAACTTGCAAAAAAAAACATTTATGAATTACGCAAATTAAGCAATATTTACACTTTTAAAATGTCTGCTATAAAAACGAAAGTTATGGTTGTTCGAGGAAAATACCCAATTCAATAAAAGATAATATTAAGTAATAAATCAATCACAGAGCAACTTTCCACCTTCAACTATTTAGCTTGCAACTAAGATGAAGATTTAAACAAGAAAATAAATAATTAAACGCGCAGAAGCAAATATTTAAATACTTGAGATTACAGAAGGCGTACTGGCTCGGCTACATGGAACAATTTAAGATAGAGATTTTAAGGAAACTGCGCCAAGCCTAGTGATCTTGCTGAAGACTAGCAAATACATTAACGTGAGGCAAAATGGGTGTGGTGAGCCTCCAACTTATGACTGAAGTAGCAGCGTATGTTCCGACGGATAAAAATAATTCCTCAGTTTATGAAAACCAAGAGAAATGAAAATGATTTTGTGACTCTGTATTCAGTCATGCGATACTGAATGAGGGATGGAAAAGAAGGCCTCTAGATAAGGCGGCTAGCTGCGAATATATCGCATAAGCAGTAGCGAACAGCCGACAAGGGATGGCCCTCCAGTTTGCTGTTGGACAGGGGACCAACAACTCCCAACCGTAAAAACTAGAAATTTGTATGCAAGAATATTATTAAGAGATCGATGTTAGGAAAGTGGGGCGGGCTAGATTAATCTGGCAAGGGACACGGTAATGAGCCTTCGGGTTCCATAAAAATGTCGGGCAAGGACTCTGCTCCAAGCAATGACTGAATTAGTTATCGTAATGCTATCGTGTCAAGTCTCTGGTTCGATGCTCCGTCAACAGAATCAGTAATGGAGTTTCGTATTGATTGTAATGAATAATTTGTTAATGCTTAATGATGTAATTTCATCCTGAATGGAACACAGGCTGTTTTAGAGCCATGATCGTCCAGCGCTTATGATATGAATGAATGGAAAACCGGTGGACCAAACGTGGGCAATCGATTTACATGTTTGAACATCCAGATTAAATCAACACAGAAGTTTTCGCTTGTATAGCCATTTCACAAACTTCTGTGAAGAATTATTTACGCGGGAAAGTGTTAACCATGCATTACTAATTTTCGTAAATATTTAATCCTCCGTTAAGCAGTCGGTGATTTGAAGTACACGTAACATAAATTTAATGGAATTTTCAAACTTAAAACATATGTCGAAAGAACTTCATTTAGGCTACCTATTATTTCTAAAGGATTAAGCCTCATCTCATTGACTTAAGGAAGAACGGATGTTTGTTGACACCACACCAAGTATGGCAGAAGTTTTTTTTTTTTAAGTGTTCTGTCCGACGACAGGTCCATATGAACAGGATCCTTCCATCCTTTTCTCGGACTGGGACCTGTTCATATACGTTCTTGGCAGATGATCCAGAAGTGGTTTGCCATTGCCTTCTTCTGTGTGTGAATGGAGTAATTGTTGGGATGCCACGGAGGAAAACTCCGTGTTGCCTAGACCACGGCCTTGCCCAACACAAGTTATAAATTCGGGCACAGCCGGGAATCGAACCCGAGACCCCAGGATTACAAGGCCAACGTTCTAACCGCTAGACCACAGAAGTTAACAAAACTTAAAAGCAGCGAACGGTGTTACTCCGAAAACACCGAGCTATCTCTGGGGTCACCTGCGAAAATCACATCCAGAATTTTAAATATGAAAAGTGAGGCCGGGGTTCGAGTCTAGGGCAGTCAATGCGGGATTTGTGGTTGACACAGTGGCACAGGAACAAGTTTCTGTCCGAGTCCTTTGGTTTTCCCGTCAGTATTATACCACCGCCGCCCAATCGTGTATGAGGGGAGAGTGGACCCCGTTATCGGCCTCAGTTCCAGAGACTGTCTCAACCCACCGCACCTACAAAAAAGTATAGCCAGTTTCTTCTATTATTACAGAAATAAAATGTTCGGTGTTTAAAATCTTCTGACATCTGATAGACGTGTGTGGTTGCATTGCAGAGAGTGGGCTGTGCATCCTAGACCCGGGGTCGCGGTACGTGACGACGTACATCAGCGTGTCCTTGCCGCTGTACTACTTCCTGCCGCTGCTGGTCACGGTATCTAGCCACGTGCTGGTATTTCTTCAGAAACACTCCTACCACGAGGAGGACGAGTACCCGTTTCCGTCTAGAATCATCCCGACCGGACGACGCGGACAAGTCCTCCTGTTCTTCAGCTGTGTTCTTCCTTTCCTGGGTCGCCTCCCGTCCGTTCTGGCCGTCGTCATTTGCTCGTCGAAACTCAACTCCGCTGAGCCTCACGAGCAGGCACAAGATGCTGGCAACATAGAAGAAATATGCCGGGAAGGAAAGCTGGACTTCTTCCTCGTGTGGTTCAAGTTCTTCTCAATCTCTTGCATTCTTCCCCTCTTATTGCTTATGGGATCACCAAACCTGAGGAAATACGTGAGAGGTTATTTCGCCGAGAAAGGGACCCAGTGTCTACGAATGTGGCTGCGATCTGACGACGGCCTACAGTCTCCGATAGAACTGACTATACGAGGCAATTCTAGGCACACGAATGCACGCGGGGTCAGACGTCATTCGCCTGAAGACGAAATAATTGAAATCGTGTAACCGCTTTGGGAAGCGGTCACAAATGTTTTATAACTTCCACGCAGGGGAATATTATTGTGGTCTCGGTTACTTTACGCTGTGTCTGTGTTGCAAGAAACATGCAAATTTATTCTGCCAAAGTTTGGCCTCGCTGAATGCTTCGGGGAATTAGCATCTGGGAAATAGTGACTCCATCACCGTGTGTTGAGGTAATTGAAATTTCGGGACGCTTTGTTCCCGCTGCAGTGTTCTTCACTCAGCTTTCATCGCTGATGAGAGGGCTTTTATGTTAACATCTCCCTTCCTTGTTAACATTCCAAATCATTCCCACGAAACAAACAACTTCCAGCGAGTCGTATTAACGTCACCAAAAAATACCTGATTTACATGTCAATGCCACAGATTAATAACAATAAGAAAATATTTATAAGGCGTGGAAATTGAATAAATATCATTTGATTAGAATTATGGCTTCCAGGGCTCTCCATATTCACTGTAGAGTCACCTGATTTATCACCGTATCAAAATGATAAGCTGATCCCTCCGAAACGTCGGCAACTTCCACCATTCAATATATGCTATATCCATGAAATTAGATGCATATTTTGGATTCTTTAAAACATGTGTAAAATCGAAAGTGTCTGTAGCTTCCACCACTCCATATCCCAAAATCCATGTTTGTTACCGTTCCACAGAGCACGAGGTAAACTGAAGGTCGTGCTGTTGTTTCATTTACAAAAGAAGAATATTCAACCTGAAGTCTTTGTACATTTAACTTATGTTTGTGTTTTAACACTGGACAGCTTATTCAAATGTGACGTGTTTATTGTGCAGCAACTGAATTACAATAAAATGTACGGAGACTGATATCAGCTGGGGCCAACATAATTTACCTACCGACAGCAAACTTCATAAATGACTACTTGCGTTTTTCCCTTTCCAGCCGACAGTTCATTTTTCCACCTGCGGCAGAATCAGGTAAGATAAATTATTTGACTATGGCATGTACGCTGGCAATCATAATGAAATGATTGATTTTTAAAAAACAACCAAAATCTTGTATTGGTTTGTTGGTAGTTACTGCATCATCAAACTTATGTTATACGTCAGCAACGTCATAAGTTTCTGGGCGAGGGCAGCGGAAGAATTACTTTGTTGGAATAAAGAACTGCCATGCGAACTTCTGTCCATCGATGGAATCCCCTTGTAGTATACAATCTGTGCTTTGCCAAAACTGCACTTAAAGAAACATAAATATCAGGACTGGAATTCTTGTACACTGTGAATTTTACGGCGCGGATGAAAGCGAATGATTGGAAGAGGGATTACGTCAGTTTTCGAACAAGTTCTGACGCACCGACTATTACTGTGAAACATTTTCTGTGTACTGATTTCATGAAAGTGAAAATCATATTCCAAAACGATCTGACAAACAACACAATGCACGTTCAGTAAGTAAAGAAATTCTCAGATTTTTATGGAACCTCAAGTTACATTTCCCATTTTCACAAATGTCCACCAAAGGACCCTACTCAGAAAGCATGTATGAATGCAGTCCACACCCTCGTACACAATTTCTTCAAGACCCACCAACATACAGTTCTGCATAATGGTCACTTAAACCTAAAATACATTCAAACATGCAATGGGAGAGAGGAAACACAATCGCTGCAAAACATACTGGCACGCTAATGGGATGATTCATCCTCTAAATATGATGGGATAAAGTCATGAATGGTCCATGGGCAGGACTGCTCTTATAACAATCCTAACACCAACAACTAATATTTACTAAATTATTAATGTATATGATGGGCATCCAAACTCAGGCAGTCTCCTGTAAATATTCTGATATATGTTCAACAGTGAAGTAATTAAATAATAGGGAGAGATGACAACACGTCTCCTGTCTGACACAGAGTGAACTTTCCCATTCATATTATTTCAGTATACATTAGAAAAATATAAGACCATAATGCAAATCAATATGGGCTAATTTAGAAAAATGCTTCAAAGTATTCTGAAGCTTCTTTTTTATCATATGTCACAAGCCTAATATGATATCAAAACAATAGTGACCTATGACCTGGACTTGGTTAATATCACAGGTACACGAGAGTTTGAACTTCTTCAAGCAGTTTACTCTTACTGCCAAACCTGGATCTATGGACCTTGTACGAATCTACAGAATGTTTTCACTCTACATTCATAACATATAAATAACATTTACAAAGAGAAATAAAAATAAGCATTTCGTCCTAAGCTATAGCTCAGGTAAAACAAAATGATGCACATTTTACTGGGCAAACACAAAGCCAGGACATTTTATATTATAATTCCTTGTTAAAATAATGATCTGTGAACTTACCAGCGCTTTTGCTGACAAAAAGTGTGTGATCTATTTATCCAGCATGTCAGGTATAATTTTCCTTCGTATGTATGTCACTAAAGATAACCACAATTTTGGATTCCGATAACTGTACATGTTGTTCGTTGTATACCGAAACACAAATATTATAAAACGATTGATAATGCCATTAAATTAAGGTTAACAACAATCTTAATACGACAAAACACGAAAATTTAATTAAGCACGATCCACAGAATATTTATTTCGAATAGAGCTTACTTTGTCCCTTACGCCGTTTTTCTGCTGAGCAGCCTTTCATCACGCAAGTTCAGTTACTCGCCGTTGTTCAACGGGGCGCGCGGAGCTGGTGTAATATGACGGCCGGAGATTTGAATAGACCTATAGGTTAAGTTAGTTGAGTTAGATTACATTAACTTCAATCTTGTTTTTAAACTGCGTTTGAGGTATGTCTTCCGATATAATTTACTTCTGCACCAGGACGGAATTTTGTCATGTCCCCACGTTGACTCATATGTGTTTGTGCGAGCACTAAAGTTTCAGGAAGTTTCCGTGCTAAACTTTATTCCTGATATTAACCATAATAGAAAATATTCTGTTCATTGTTCAAGAAAGTAATGATTAAACACTGTCACACTTACCTAAAATGAATGCCTTATGTGTAGTTGTAAAAAAGTGAACTCCTCACGAGATTCCCACTACATTTCGGAGCAACAACGTCATAAGAACACTTCATATTCAAAAGTTGATTCACTTTATAAACATATTTAGAAAGGTTTCCTAAACAGAAACGTCCACGATACCTCACGTGGTCACACAAACGCAAAGATGTAAATAATGCTGAACTTATGACGTTGCGTTACATCAAATCCGTCCGTACTGCCATCTATGAACATGACCAACAGAGTAGCATAGAAGTCGGTAAAATAGTTGAGTACTATTCCACATAAAATCCCTTCCCAATCACACTCACAACTTCTCACAGAACAACTACAATTTGAATGTAGACGTTCCAGGTTGGCAAAATTAATAAAGTGTATACATTCTACATAAACAATGTATGTAGCCTCAAAATGTTATCAATAACTAGGACATTCATTACAGCTTAATATTGACATCTTTTGTTGCTGATGTCTTGGATAGAATAAAGATTTTTGTTTTATTTTATCAAAGACATTAGGAACATTTATTTCTGTTACAATTACGGTGTTATCACACACCATGAATTTTTTAGAGATTTAAATTTGTTATGAAGATTAATGGTGGAATGAATTCGAGGATATAGGCCTAACAAACCCCATCCTATCTCCGCATCAATTTTCTTTTATGCCAAATGATGACTTTTGGCCTTTTTTCTAAAATAATGCTGGAAAGACATATATATAATAAGAAGGCCAGAAAATAATTTACTATGTCACAAGTTCCAGACAGTTCACTGGATTTATAGTTAGTTGGCCGATCTGCTCCCCAAATTTAAGTGTCATATTTATTCAAAACCAAACATAAATTTCATTTTAACCATGTAAATTACATACAGTTAATTGTACCAGAGTTTTCAACATGAACTTCAAAGTTATTAGAGATACAAGAGTGGATATCCCCAACTTGTCCTATCTCTACAAAACAGAAAACAGTGATTTAATCCCCCCCCCCATATTAAAGGCTCCCACCTGACACTTTAGTCGTATGATATTGCAACGCATAGCCAGGCGGACTCTGCATAAGCCGAAGCAGATTAAGGCCAGTGATCCTTACGTTAATAGTTGTCATAGCAACTTGTAAGTAATTCAGTACTTATGCATTCAAGTTGGAGCACAGCGCAACAGGGTTCGTGGTTTGTGTCAGTCACATTATGCAACAGGTGATATAGCATACCTGCAAGTTCGTAACTACAAACCAGGAATACCAATCTTGCTTCCGAGATATGCACATTCTAGTTTTTTTTATACTTACTTATTTATTGTGATGATAGAACGGACTCATATAGCAATAACAGTAAAAAGGATTTGGTATCTGCAAGTAACTTCCTCTTCACTCAACTACAAAGCATATCAAATACTTACTGTTCCACTCATCAATTTTGAATCTGTACTCATTTCACAGAAACATTCGTAGATTTTGTGCCTCTGAAAGATAAAATGCAAGCGACTGATGGTGGGAGAGACAACGTACATGGTCTTCAGATATTTCTTTAAAGAAACTCAATCTCACTACAAATTCATTATACTTTATGTAACTGTAATAAAAAATAAAGTTATCATGTAAGAAAACCACACTACGTGAAAGCTGTTTCCTACTGCGGCTAATATTAAACTTTATTAGTTACACATCGCAACCCACGTGAGATCCAGTCGGACATGCATCGAAGTAGCACACGGGTAACCGTTGAGTCTGGACTTAAAGTCGAGCCAGCATCCCACAGTATATGGGATTAAATGCCCTGTTCTTATATGATAAAGGTTAAGAAACAGCGATTACCAAACTGCATTTTGGGGAACTATAAGTTTCCTTGGATAATTCATGTTGATCACAGATTATAACATGTAAAGACTAAAAATTAAATTTTCACTACAATTACAAACAGTGAAACTGATTCTGACACAAGTAAATTATTTCAGATTGAGTTCCGGTTTTAGAAAATGTAAACAAGTAGTACGGAATCTAATGATTATGGATTATACAGTTTGTGTTGATAAGTAATATCAAAGATAAAATTTAGGTACATGAAAATAAGGCACAGATCTTTGAGAAACAGATTAAAAAATATTAACATCAGAACTGAGTTATATCTGATGAGCTGCAAGCTGTTTAATTTGGGACCATAAAAACAACGAATGATTATTTTAATACCTCTGCTATTGAATCTATCAAAAAATATGAAACACAATGGAACATTTGTGTTGAAAGGACGGATGAACAGGATACCGATTTGTACAAAATGACTATTGGAAGAGATGCCGACGACAGCACTGAAGGCCTCGGCAGAAGCACGAAGAAAAATATCACGAAACGTACACTCAAACTTTTTATTTGAAGAATATCATGGAGAACAATATGGCCACCAAGGCATAATCTTACAGATAATGGCACTTCATACAAGCTGCCACAATGGAGATTGGCACAGGAGTTTTCCTCAGAGGAATTTCATCGGCAAAAAACTTTAAATTTATTTTCTTGAAGACGATAAAAAATGTTCGCAATGTTTCCTTCTTTTTGTTTAATTCCTTAATTCACTGTGATATGAAAAAATGTTCCTCTGCCTCGGAGTGTGAGGATCAACAACTTTGTTGTTTCATGAACTCACGCATGTTTACAGCTCTGTCCCAAGCCATGACACCACTTCTAACGTCACTTTGCTCCCTGTCTGTTTCAACATTGCTACTGCCACTGAATGCTTCACATTTTCTAGACTGTGCCCATCCACTGCCAATAATCTGTCACCACACCTGCCACAAAATAAATATAATCAATAATGACATCCACAACAGTTGATTATTAGTCCCAGAGAATACATGTCTCAAATTATGGTTTCAGGGTCCAATGCTTCCATCTGACCCGCGCTTCGTTAATTTCAAAATGTTAAATAATACAGCAACACACAATTATCAATACGACTAATGAGAGTAATGATGGTGTTCAAACTTCATTCAGTTTCGTCTGATTTAGCATGGGATTACCCATATAAAACTACTGGTTACTTTTCCTAACCAGTCAATATGCTCATGGCCATACCTGAGTTTTCCATGCTTAGCTGCTGGTGAGTCTTGCACAACAAACAGGATGTGAATAGCTTCTGGTCCTCGGACAGGATCCTCCCCACCTACGATGCTGAAGCCAAGACTTGCCCCAGGACTCCGATGTAAGATCACAGTCTTGGGAAACTGAAGGCACCTGTAGGACGATAAGTTTAATATGATCACTGAACAAGGGGAAGCGTAATGCTGCTGAAAAGAGAACGAGGGCCACCGTTTGGGAATCAACACTTCCTGAAAGAGAATTCTGAAGCAACTGTTACATGCGTACATACTGTTTATGACAGGCCCTTGTCTTTGTCTTTAATCATGTGGGGGTATTATAATTTTAAATGTACATGCCGTTAACTACAAAAATGCATATTGACAAAGGACAGCTTCTTTCGCTGAAATTTTTCTTCTGGGCTATAACGTCACTGGATTATTAAGACAGTCACTGTGCTGACATCACGATCTGCAATGCTCTGCCCATTACAAGACTGAAATAAGTTTCAGACTTCGTTAAACATTATTAGGAATAATAATATCATGTCTCACAGAAAGTTGGACCAACAAGTTGATCTCTAGTCGGTTCCAGAAATATAATCCTACATTCCAGTTCCTCACAAAACCTGTTCTATGTATGACTCTTTTAAATGGAGTACGCTATAAAAAATTCTACGTTCATAACAACTATTTCAAAATTCTTCTTTGGGAGGTGAGGGACAGGAAGAGGAGGAAGGTCCTCATTTATAGTTGTTGTTTCTTTTTGAGTAGTGAATGTAACATATTAACATTTCGTGTGGAAGCAGATCATAAACACACTTACGAATTACGTTATGTAATTAATATGGTGATCAAATAAGGGAGCATGAGATGCTCAGGGCATGAAGCATGCATGTAGGACATGAGAAATGAACACTGCATTCTGGTTGGAAAGTCTGAAAGAACAGGACTACTTGGGTTGGAGGATAATACTAAAAAAGGACCCTAAAATCAGACATTACTGGCAGGTAAACATATGTTATCTCATCTAACTGAAGTACAGAATTGCTTTTTACCTTGGTAGTTTCTGCCAGTATAACCATGAAGGGATGAAGTTGAGAGATCCAAGAGATGTCTCTGGCCCCTCCAGAACACCCAGTGAAACCTGCGTATTCTCGACAGTAGCTTTAAGTGTTGCAACAGCCTGCGTGTGTGTTAGGCCCATCAGGCTGGTTCCATTCACATTCAGCAAAATATCACCTTTCTGCAATCACACGTTCAACATTCTTAGTGACTCTTCTATAAACAATTTGAAGACGTTCTGTTTCTCACCTGTTAAATGAATATGACTGAATAAACTGATAAAATGTAATAATTTTCAATGAAATTTCTGATTCCTAATACTGTTCCTCTTCTGGCATCATTTAAGCAGATGCTGATATTTCAGAGAAACATAATTGTCTCCATCTACAGCTGACAAGTCTACAAAGAGCCAAAAACCCAGACTTTCGCGTGGGCTGTCAGTTTTCCGATAAACAATATTGGCAGGTTCCTGCCGAACAAAGAACAGAACAGATGCGTTGATTACTTACCCATATTTGTTGCGTCTTTCCGACACAGCCTTGTGGATGAATGTTTGCAATGTAGATGGGAATGTCCCCTTCGTTACTGCCCAGTCCACCTCCGATTCGCATGCCCAGACTTTCATTAGGCTCCTACAGACATTTAATTCTAATTAAAGCATTCTCTAATATCACAAATTTAGAACCAAGTGAAGATGTTGATTATGAACTTCTGGTTATTGACGCTGTATGGATTTGTAGGTAGATAAAATTATTTCACGGGAACATACCGTCTCTGAAACATCATTATCTACCTGTAAGTCCACGGAGCATTAGCACCCAGAAGACCGACATTATTGAACAACGGCAGAAACGGTGCTACAAATTTTTCACACATTTATCACTGTCGTTTCACCGAGAATACTGAATGCAAAAATCTGTATCCTACGCAAAATCCAGGAGAAAATAATAATTGTAGCGTTCCGTACTGTGCTGCGTCAAAGTATGAATTCAATTTATCACCAACAGAAACAAAGAGAGAGAACTCACTTTCGTACCTTATTAATTGTTACACATTTCTGAAGCAACTGGATACCCTCTATCTGCAGGTTCCGTTTGATGTTGATAGCCAGATCATCGACAGTCACTTCCTTAGACGACCTTCTTATGATAGAAGAGGGCACATGCCTTGCACAAGGTGGTGATGACAATTGCTGACATGGTTTTCCTTCCACATTTTGCAGTGCGTCACATGAATGGCTGTGGCTTCGCTCGTGGCATAGAGCTTTTACGATATTGTTCAAGTTCCTATCTGGAGATATCTGCTGCAACTTTGCCTGCCAGGTCTGTGACTGTAACAGTGGTGAGTGCAGGTCTGGATCAGTGTTGGCATTACTGATGGATTCTGGCTGTTGTGTCTGCATACTTGCACCAACAGGTGCTGCTGATGGTTGCATATTAGTTCCAAGAGCCTCTGGGGCTGATTTGGTTCTTCCATGACATACTGGAAGCGGCTGACCATCTCTGCTTTGCGCATTACGGTTCAGCTTCTTCCGAGCCACCACTAACGTCACTTTCTCGTTGCTCTAAACAAACAGAAGTGGAAGAAAGATATTAATGATCAATGTGGCTTCCTCCCAATAGTATAAAACTGTATGATTAAATATGGATCTTTTAATTCATACGCTATTTTGAGTTACTCTCTTAGGTTGAGGAATTATTTAGTGTAAAATGCAATGATAGGAAGTTGCCCGAATTTATAACTTGTGTTGGGCAAGGCCGTGGTCTAGGCCACACGGAGTTTTCCTCCGGGGGCTTCCCCGGTTTCTCCGTGGCATCCCAACAATTACTCCATTCACACACAGAAGAAGGCAATGGCAAACCACTCCTGGATCATCTGCCAAGAACGTATATGAACAGGTCCCAGTCCGAGAAAAGGATGGAAGGATCCTGTTCATATGGACCTGTCGTCAGACAGAACACTAAATAATAAAATAAATATATAATAAATATAAATGACATAACAGATCAGGAAATAATAATCAATAAAAGAAACAAAATGAAGCAAAACCACAGTCAATTGTACAATAAAAAGCCACAGAAGAACAATATGAGTACAAGCAATATCCAATAGCAAAATATGATCCTTATTAAAATGCCAGTGTCCTTGAAAATAACAATAAAGACAGTATACTGCCATAGCATAGGGATTACTATCGAGTGCACTTATTACACGCAGCGCACCTGAATGAGCCTTGAAGCGTGATCCAACCTGCAGCACGCCACATCCTCCCCATTAACGGACAGGATGCGGTCATAGGGTTCTAGATGACCACTTTTTGCAGCAGGACTTCCTGGGATGATCTCCAGGATGAAGATGCCTTGCTCCATCCACCAGCCACTCAAACGGACACCAAGCTGCTGGTTGCTCTGTCGCTCCAAGGTCACTGTGTGGATCTCTGTGTGACATGAGAAATACTGTTTACTATTTCAAACTTTTCACTCATGAATGAAATATAATGCGCTGTTACAACACTCTTGATTCATCAGTGAACATTATTTACCTAAGATATTGTATACTGATTATTAATTTATTAAATATTCAATTATAATTAAGACCCAGTACATGAAATATTTAAAGGACTATAAGACTACATAAAGTGTTACATGAAATTAGTTACCTTCTATGTAGTGTGCTAATATGCGAGCGCTGTATGCTTCTATCCTTTCTCGATACACTCCAAGACGTAAAACTGGGCTCATTTTTCTTAAGGCTTGGCATGCCTGAAAATTATAATATTAAATGAAGACACAATATAAATTGCCTACTGAAAACAGCTCAGAGCTCTTTTTTATTGCAAAAATTTTATGGACAAATAGAAAAACAAAAAATAGCCCTATTAATGAAAGACAGTTAACATTACAGAAAAATATTTCTTTCTTTATTTTCTTGTTAATTTTATAAAATAAATTCAAAATAATACAATCTGCTGAGTCTTTTGGGTTGTAGATGTGTTCTTATGAAAGACAGTTCAACTAAATATCCTGAAGACAGAGGCTGCATAGTTTACAGAAAATTAACAGGAAAGGGTGCGGAAAAAGTGACTGTACCTTGCTTAAGGTACAGTCACTTGGGACTGGCACGGACATACACTATTTGACACCATAAAATATCTCAGCTGAGACAAGAAGCCTCTGAGCCAAGGTCTCACTAAAGAATTCCATGAATATAAACGCTACACTGCAGTGCATTGATCCATACAAATGGAATCGTCACTGTTAAACAATGCCATGGAAACACCAGACATCACGACGTGAAAAATGCCGATACCGGAGTATCACAGGTTGACAGTAAGCAACAATTTGCTTGATTAATTCCAGAACAGCACCGACAGGGATTTTTATTTCAGAGAGGAAATTTCAAGTCAGTTTCTTAACGTTGTTGTTTCGACAACTGACAACAATTTTGCAGAAGTAACCTCAGTGACAGATGGCGTTCACTGATTTGTTTAGTCAGGAGCTCTGTTCTTATAGAACCCAAGGGACAAACCGAAGAATTAAGTCCACTGGCCCTGTTTTCGTCGTCAGAACTGAATATTCAGTCCACCATCCAGAATGCCCACGAAAACTGCACATTTAAAACCTTTTCACTGACTCGATTACTTATTTCTGTTTCCAAACACCAAAAGACATGATAATTTTCTACGCAAAGTTTGTTATTTAACCCTTATCCCACTCAGAGCAGCAATTCTTGATTATACAAAGGTTTGTTACGTATTCATAAATTGGTATTATGCACGGAAATAAATTAATTTTCAGACGTCGACAGTGAATGCCGTTATAAGAAGAGGCACGAAGCCTCCTGGTCTCAAGAGCGAATTTATACTAACCTGATGATGTGAAGCATTTGTCATGTCAATGCCATTGATCTCTATGAGCTGGTCCCCAGGCTTAAGGCGACCGTCTTGGGATACCAAACCCTCTGGAAACACTTCTTGCACAACAACACAACGCTGAAACACACAAACACAAAACTAAGCATGCAATAACGCAAACTTAATGCTAACATTTGCATGAAATATTAATGACAAAGACAGGGTTTTCTCTTGTAATAGCAGTGATTAGCGCTCCTGTCTCTTATATGGGAAATCCCAAATTCGAATTTCAACTCCCAATCGCTGCTTGTACGCTTTGTATCCGTGGCGGCGTTCCATGTTTTGATACCGTGTCGACCTGTAGATGGGTGCTAACATTTCAGAGGAACATAATGCCTTCATTTACAGGGTTGAAGACAAACGTGATGTGGACTTGTAGGTGGGCAGCAACCTTAATAATTACACCAAAACATTATCAAAAGCTGTCAAAACTTTCTTCACATTTCTTTTAAGTGTAGAGAGACGGCTTTTAAAAAGGAGGCCCTTACAAATTCAGCTGCTTCTACATTAGCCCTCATCCATCAGTCCAGAACGCCTTAATTGTCTTCATCATAACCAGTTTCTCGTTTTAAAGTACTTAATTTTATAAGACTTGAGAAAGCACTTCATTAATTATATTGATGCCGCGTTGGAGTGGCTCGTCGGAAGTACGAAAAATAAATACAAACGAAAATAGTGTCGCTTGAGTATTCTTTAACAACATGGAACTGCAATATGTCTGCATTAACGTAAATTATTATAAAATTTATTTAGAATGTTAAAGCTTAAGGAACTAAGGAGATAGTGGAAGGACTAACCAATAAGCGTCATTGCATCAATTAGTATGACAGTTATAGACCAAACAATGCGGTGGGTGGGGCATGTAGCGCGTATGAAAGAGATGAGAAATGCGAACAAAATTTTGATTGCAAAGTCTGAAAGGAAAAGACCGCTCCGAAGATGTAGACGTAGATGGGAGGAGAATATTAAAACCTTGCAAATATAGTAATGAACCTTGGAATTTTCCACAAAAGGCGAGGAATTTCTTGACTAACTGAGCGATCTCTTTTAGTTATAATAGAGCAACGCGCTCCTTTCGGAGCGCTTTCTCTAATCTGATATTTTAATTCTTTACGTCGCTGTTCAGAGGTCAACTGTTCTTGGTCAGTCAACTTTCTACGTCCAACTCCACCCTTGCAAATCTTTTTTTTCCCGTTCTGTTCTTGTTGAATAAGTTTTCCTACGTTTATCAATGTAAATCTCCTTTCGCTTTTCTTTATTTCTTAAACAGTTCTGATGTTTTAGTTCTTTATTTATACGATTTATATTTGGATTTGGAGTTTCTACGGTGGTGAGAATGACGTTGTTCTCGGTTGTGACGCCTCGTAGACCCGTACGTAGTTACTGCCAACGTTTCGGCGGAACATTCTGCCTCCGGCTTCATGGCTGATGGAGGCACGTACGTTCATCCGAATCATTGATATCTACCTACAAGTCCAAACGGCGTCACAATCTAGAAATACTTTTAAAAAAAAAAAGGAGAGACAATTTAGAAACTTTAAGAGAAAAAAACGTGGTCTGGCAACGGCAGAGGTTTGTAGTGAAATGTTCCACGGCTCAAAGTACCGGGTGATGTTGTGGACGTGAAATGTCCTGTGGGATTGCCGCAGTGGTTACAGAGCACGGTACAGCTCGCAGTGTCACCGGGGACTTCAAACCGCGGCCGCAGTCTCTGCACAACTTCATGATCTCGTGGCTCGTATTTGAAGATTTGGGATTAAACTTTGGGAACAGAATACAACTGCAAAGCTAGCACGAGGACACAGAAATCGGTGTGCACTCTTACTCGTGTTCCGGAAGCACCCGGTTCGATCACCACTGGAATATTTGCTATAACGAATATTATTATTTCGTGGTCATCTTCAGTCGGTGAAGGTAATTCCCGAGATAGTACTTTAAAATAGAAGGAACTTAATTGTATTCAATTTTATAGTACATAATTTCAATTATAATCAAGACCTGCCAAGAAAGTGACTATCAGGGATATAATGGCCTTACAGCTATGGATGTTCAGAGTTCATAGCCCCCAATGAAGTATAAAGACCATAAAAGATCTTAATTTTTACGACCCCGAAGCGAAAGGAACAAAAGAAAACGCTGAATATTTCATAGCTTACAGAGAGAAGAAGACAAGGAAGGGGTAAAGAATGGGTTACTGTTTAGAACTTGTTCCTTAGGCGAATTTGTAATGAAAAGCAAACCAAGAAGAGAGCAACGATTTTAGTCAAGAATATTTTAATTGCTTAAAAACATAAACACTAGTATAACGCGATACTAAAAGTGGTAATAAAAGAACAAGTTCTGGAAATAAAAGTGAAGGGTAGTGGTCTCGTATCTCAATACGTACAAGCCCCGCGCTCAAGGCAGAGTTGTCAAGGCAACGATTTGGCGGGGATTTCGTAATTTCAGATACACGTTCT